ACCTGTTACATTTGGCACCCAATATGATAAGAATATTTAAAAAAAAAAATCCTGAATTTTCCTGTATATTCCTCTATGAGATCTTTCATATGCACCTACCATCCTGGGCATGATCTGAACAGAGTTGAATCCATACTACTGGTAGTGGTACCTGATGATGTTTGCAAATCAGTATGACTAACTGTGGCTCTGCTATTTCTTGATATATTTTTTTCTTAAATATGTAACAGGAAAGGAGAAAAATCTGACAGACCAGACAGGGATTCAAACCCGGGCCCCCTGAATCTCCAGTCAGAAGTTTTACCAACTGAGCTATCGAACCCACCTGACCTCCACAAATATTTCTACTATTAAATTAAAATAAAAATATTCTTTTGGATGTTTTCAACAGTTTAAATTTTTTCAAGGTAAGGGGCTGACATAGGGCTGGTGATTCATAACCAGTTTCTTTTGTGCTAAGCAGATGAAGATCATAGACTTAGAGACTCTCTATGGAAGGGACATAGATCATCAGAGGTCTATTACTTCCAACTTTCAGTATACCGGTATTCATTTTCAGCTGGGTGAACTGAGACAAATAAGACATAAGAAGCTTTAATTAATTAAGGTGTTCAATTCCTAATTGGACAAAATTCTCTATCTTTAAATATCAATCTGATATAAAATACTCTTGCATTCATCTAAAGTAGGGATTGATATGAGGAGAGAATTTTCAAAAATGTTACTACCTCATAAAGATAATCTCACTTTAATCAATATACCCCTGTAATCTTAAATACAGGTACTAAGAATACAAACAAATGTTGTAGTGAAAAAAAAGTAATTTAATTATTAAATTAGGAATAACACTACAGTTAAACTACTGGATAATGACTCCCATCATCAGTTTGATTAAGTGCATCAGATTTAACAATTTATGGGAGAAGAGACTGCATCGAACCATTTAATTATTAACATTTTACATTTTCAGGGAAAATTTATTTATTGTATCTGTATTCTTTTTGTGCCCTTTCTTTTACTTTTTTTCCCTGCTTTTGATTTCTACTTTTAAGACATTGGTTGTAATAAATTATCATCTTAAGCACCATGTTTCTAACAGAAATTTTACAATCAAAATGTCGCTTTGTTAAATTAAGCTGTTTTAAATAAACAATATTGGTCTGGATATCAAATGTTCATCAAATCCATTATTCATAGTATGTAGTCTTGACATATAACTTCAGAATGAAAAGGAGGTCATCCATGAATCACAATAAAATGATGTAATCTATTTTGCTTTAAGTGTAGCATAAAATAGCTACAAAGCGCTCGAGTTGTCTGAGAAGGTGGAAAATTGTCCAAACAGTGGCCAAGTTCTTTGAATCAAAGGTGATTGTCAATGTGAATTGTTCTACAGGAGAGCTGTCTTAGGGGTGACTTGTCCAGCATTGTAGTGCATGTGCAAGCTGATTTTACAACATATTATCTGGTTATATATTTACTTAGCTTATATATTCAGTGTGGACCCTGAGGTTCATAAACTTCAGACTGAAGTTTAATAATTGACTGTAAAGAAGGTTAAACTCCCCATCCCCACCCTAACAATAATTCACTGACATTGTATCTACTTATTTAGTTTAATAAATGTCTCCAATGCCTATATCATAACTGAACAAAGCCAGATATCTATAGACATGATGACCATACTTAGAAATGTAAAATGAATTCAGTCAAAACACATATTATCAACTTACATACATAACTTTGATGGATAGTTATTATTATACTTGTACAAAGTGGTCATCTAATGATTCATCATCAGTTATCATACATGTAGATACTGAGTTGGGATATATTAATGAAAATTAGTCGAAGGGAATCCTTCTATAATCTATAACCACAAAATATGATGAAAAACTGCTTTAAATTCATAATTAATTGCAGAGAATTTTAATTTAATAAACACTTAAGCACCTATTTAGAAAAAATCACCAGTAGTCCTAAATTATATGAAAAAAGTCAGTGCTTTTTAGTGTTATAAACACAATAGAGGAAATTCGCGTCACAACTTTGTTTCGAATTAGCATTAGACTTGTGTGATCAAGATTTAAATTTATTCGTGCTTACAATGAACTTATCGCTAATAAAATAAGATAATTATTCTTATTTTATCTTTTAAAACACTGTCTTACTTACAATAAATCGACTTTACAAATCATAATACATGCCGATTCGTATGCGGTTGCCTATTGCAGGGTGCGTCGATTTACCCAAATGGACCCAAATGGAACCCAAATGGAACCAAATGGACCCAAATGGAACCCAAATGGAAACCCAAATGGACCCAAATGGAATATTAAACATATATTATCGTATTCTCAAGTTGTTACTCATTTAAAATGTTGAAAATAATGAACTTGCAAATGGAGAATATTTAATTATTCATTTCTAATATTGTATTTTAAAATACAAATTGATTTTTTTTTTCATTTTGTAATAACTATTGCATATCATTGAATATAAAATTGAAGTATTTCATTTTAAAATTTATATAGTTTTCATGGCCGTAGGAACCGGGGGGGGGGGGGGGGGGGGTGTAGCACGGGGCCTGTGCCCCCCCCCCCCCCATAATTTTGCCGATATATATATATATATAATACTAAAGAAAATTCATTCGTATTTAAAATACAATATTAGAAATGAATAATTCATTAATATTCTCCATTTGTAAGTTCATTATTTTCATCACTTTAAATAAGTATTGTAACAACTTGATAATACGATAATATATATATTTAATATTGCATTCGATTTCCATTTGGGTCCATTTGATTTCCATTTGGGTCCATTTTGATTTCCATTTGGGTCCATTTGGGTCCATTTGTGTTCCATTTGGGTAAATCGACGTGCCGCCTATTGCCTAATAAAAGTTGGATGCCGATCTCGACGATTCAAAACATAATTCCTCGTACGATTCTGTTGTTGCCTTTTTTCAATAAGAGGTTATAAACTGTCTAAATATTTAATTTAATTAGTCAAATTGTCCAACTTCTCACGTAAGAGATGAAGATAAACGAAGCCCACATGCCGATCGCGATGTCAATTAAGAAATGACCATACACTTATTTTCAGAATTTTTGAAGTAAATATTGAATAAAACAGAATTGTTCAAGAGTGTTATAACTTTTTTTGCTTCAAAATGTTTCATTTTAAACACCAATAACATCTATATTACGTGGTTATAGCGAGCGCAGCGAGCGGCGCAAAGCGCCGCTCGTCACTGCGAGCTCTAACGACAACGCCTGGGCGAAGAGAAAATTCGGACTACTGCACATTCATTCAATAGAATTTTTTTCCGCAGTAATTCTGACCCACAATGCATCGCTTCTTGTTCTCGCTGCTAACTTCGTTCACGCGGTGACAACAACTAAAATTTCACAAAAAATAAACTCACCTTAATTAATGGCTATTGCATGCAGATAGTAGATTAAACGATTTACAGTCACTTCGTACACAAACCGAGTCGTACACAAACCAACTCGTATACAAAAAGTCAACTCGTACACAAAAAAAAAGTCAACTCGTATACAAACCAGAAGTCAACTCGTACACAACTCATACATACGTTTTCCTATGTGATTTAAGGTAATATTTGCCATAGTTTCCAAAAAAATTGAGAAGTCAACTCGTACACAAATGTGTTTTCTGTACATTTTTAACTAGTACATGTGTATATATATATTTATAGATCTTAATCTTAATTGGCTATACACATCAAAGACACATTGCTTAACTATAACATATTCTCTAATTGTATCAACATTTTGGCACATGAGTTAACTAAATCAAGATTGTCAAATTCATTCTTAATTCTTAAATTAATTCTTAAATAAACGGAATTATCTTAAATAATTCTTATATTGTAAATTTGTTAAATATGTAGTTGAAAAACTTAATTCAAATGGATTTCTAATTGTCAACAGAATTGATATACGTAGTTTTTATATTTCTAAAAAGTTTTCTGTTATGCAAGTAATGCATGTTGATGTAGAATATAATATTTTATAGCATCCTAATTTATTATGTTAAATAGATATATAGTGTAGATAGTAAATTCGATCTAAATACATGGTAAGAATTTAATGGTATACTGTATAACACATTTTTCTTGCACTTATCTAAACTTATTTAAACGAAAAAAGTTTTAAAAACTTACCGTCTTGCTGCAGGAAAGACAACTCTCTCGAACCATGGTGAAGTATAAGGAATGAAGAAACTTGGAGACGTTTTCGATACATATAGTATCTCATAATTAAAGGATACCGAATTATGAGCATCTCGTAATTAGCGTTTTCCGCAGATCCAAGAAACCACCGCGCGGGTGTTGGTTTAACAATACTTCTTTGATGTCTTTGATGTTCCTATCCTATCAGGGAAGTTGAATTATTTAAATATTTAGGGAAAAAAACTTAAAAAACTTAAAGAAAAGTAACACTTCGTGTTATCAAACATTATTTGTATAAAATTAAATCATAACGATTGTATATAAATGTTGTGTACGAGTTGACTTCTGGTTTTTGTGTACGAGTTGACTTTTTGTATACGAGTTGGTTTGTGTACGACTCGGTTTGTGTACGAAGTGACTGGACACCGATTAAACGTTCTTTGTTAAAATATTTGCACTTTTTTTGTTTATGGAAATGCAGCTAACGTACGACGTCATGTGACGTCACAGTCTAAGACGTTCCAAATGTCTCGTGCGGTTTGAAGAGGCGGGTCTTAAAATGAAGTGAACAATGCGCTCGCCCCAACGGTCGCACCGTCAACATATTAACTATCTTTGGGTATAATTATACGAGTAGCGAATTGCAAGGCTACCGCTTGGGATTTCTATTTTTAGAGCGACTCTGAGCACTAGCGACAGTTTTCACTGGTACACCGCCAAGTGTCATGTGTAGTTTTGGTCTTTGTTTCGGCGATTATAGGGTTGGATGTTTTCGTAATCGTTAAAGTGATAAAGACTAAGTGTTGGTCGACAATCAACCACAAGGAATCACTATGAAGTTCATCAAAAGATACTCATTTTACAGTTGATGTAATGAAAATGAAAGTAGGATTTTTCGATGTGGCATTCCTTGCGCAGATTTTTTCTTGTGTGTGTTTTCATGCTGACGATAGGGACTATTATGCCGTGCTAAATGTAAAAAGGTCTGCAAAGCCATTGGATATTAAAAAAGCGTACAAAGTCATAATGTTCAAGCTCCATCCAGATAAAAACAAGGTAAGTAGGAAGTCTAGTATACATGTATATATATACTCTTATGCTGGTTGTGCTTATATATAAATCTGATAGTTTTAGATTTACATCTTGATTAATGTCTTCTTAATTTGCATCAACAGAGACATGAATTCAAACACCAATTATTAATAAGTTATTTAAAATTGATAAAAATTCTAAATTTTATGAAAACTAATTCAACAACCTGAACAAGGGCACCACAAAGCGGAGCATCCCCTCGCCAAAGAGCATATCATTCTCGACATGAATTATTACCTGATAAACTCCCGTCACCCACTCACTCACTCACTCATCCACATACACAAAAGCACATTTCTATATCCCCTCCAATGTAAACATTGCGAGGGGATAAAAAAGTTTTTTTGTAAGGGAAACACAAATTTTAGGTTTTATAGTTCACTCGGGTGACTTATTGCTATCTGTTGAATTGAACATATTTTATTGACAAAGTCAAAAGGATCGGACACAAGTTCAGAAACTTAGATAGTCTTCTCCTAATACAACATTTTGTTAAAATTGCCAAAATAAAAAACATATATTAACATATGGTCTACTACATATACGTAGTTATAGAAAGAAAAAAAAAAGTTTTAAGTGTACAAGTATAACTTGAATTGGTAAGAAGAAAATTTTTTAAAAAGTAAGCTTATTTTGAAAAACGACCACATTCATTTAAGAAAGTTTGAATGGTTTTGAAAAGTTCAACATTTTGTTCAATAGTAAGAGAATCATCTCCCCATAACATTAAATGTACATCTATAACATATAAATAATTAAATGATAAAAGCTTATTCATTAAGGAATTCCTTGCTTTTACATAATATTTACAAGCAAAAAACAAATGATATGCATCTTCTAGTAGTCCACAAGAACAATTAGGACTGGTTATTAGGTTACAGCGATATAAGTCAGACTTTAAAATACAATTATGTCTTAATCTTGTATGAATTATGTTCAAAAACCTTTTTCCATATGAAAAATATTTCTGAGGTTTTGCAATACTGTTGTGCAGATAGTTTTTAAAAATTTTGATAGAAGTTGCCTCCCTTGTTTTAAGACTAAGGGAATTTCACTTTCTAACTGTATCAGGAATAAATGATTTATTATATAGTTCTAATCTGTATTTTGGCAAAGAATAATTTAAGAAATTCCTGGTAGTGTATCCTGAAATATTGCCTCTTGTATCAGGTACTAAATTTTGTAAATAATTAGGTACTAAATTATTGTGCATTTTATACATTGTTATTAGTTTTGCTCTGTTTCTTCTGTGTTCCAATGGTTCCCAACCTGTTTCCAAATATAATGAATTTCTTGAAGCAATAATTGTAAGCCCAGTAACTATTCTTGCAGCAAATAATTGTACTTTTTCAAGATTCTCAATGTCTGTTTTTGTGCATCCAGACCAAACTTCAACAGCATATTCAAGTTGTGGTCTAATAAAAGATATATACATCTGGGATAGAATATCTCTTGACACAGTAAATTTTAGTTTTTTAAGAAGCCCCAGTTTTTTGTATGCTTTCTTTATAATGATATCAATATGATCAGACCATCCTAAGTTGGACGACAGAAGTATCCCAAGATGTTTGTGTTCTGTAACATATTCCAATTGGCAATTGTCAAAATATAATGTAGGAAACTGCTGCATATTTTTCGAATTAAAAAATACGGCTTTGGTTTTCTGTGGGTTAAATTTCAATAACCATTTCTTTGACCATTCATCTAGTATTCTAAGATCATGGTTAAGATTTTGTTCAATATGATTAATATTATCTGAACATTGTTGTAAGGAATTATCATCAGCATATAATCTACAAACGGATATCATATTTTCAGCCACATCATTTACATACAGTAAAAATAACAAAGGACCAAGTACTGAGCCCTGAGGAACTCCAGCTTTTACATGTCCTACAGAGGAAAATTGATTTCTATACATGACTTGTTGTGTTCTATTGCTTAAATAACTATCAAACCAATCTAGCATATCACCATTGATTCCATACATTTTTAGTTTGTAAATTAAGCCTTTATGCCAGACTCTATCAAATGCCTTGGATAAATCACAAAACACCATACAACAGAATTTACCTTCATCAATACTTTTTACTATAGAGTGGTATGTTTCTAAAAGTTGATATACGCATTGTAGGATTAAATCATTAAGGAGTTTTAAATCTGCTTGCTTATAGTTCCAAATTTTACGTTTATATGCCGCATTAACATTGGTATTCTGGTGAATATATATATAAGTTGCTTTATGATCACTAACTGTATTACTAACTTTTAATGTTCCAGAATCATGTACATGTATATTGTCACTAATAATGATAGGATCTATAAGGGTTTCTGTATTGCAAGTAATTCTTGTAGGTTCATGTATGATATTTGTTAATCTACAGCTGTTCATTATTGTATGAATCTCATGTGAGTTGTTAACTTTTAAGAAATCAGTGTTAAGGTCACCAAGTACTACAATATTGCTGGAGATATCACAAGCTTTTTCAAAGGACCAAGATAGTTTTTGCCAAAAGACACTATTAGTGTGTGGTGGACGATAAATACAGCATATAAGTAGATTTCCCTTTACTTGTGGTATTTCTATCCAAATGAGTTCAGTATTAATTGGTTCTAAATCTTCTCTTCGACTAGCCTTAATTAAATTTGAAACATAAATCATTACACCTCCACCATAAGAATTGCGATCTTTTCTAAAAATATTCTTAAAACCTTCTATGAACAAACTTTCATTTGTAACATGTGTGTCTAAATGAGTCTCACTAAAACATAGTATATCAAAATCTTGAACTAAATACATTAGGGAATCAATCTTATTTCTGATGCTTCTAATATTAAGGTGCAGGATATCAAGAGAGTTTGAAGCAGGTGGGCCTGGGTTTGTTTCAATATCACCAGATAGCAAAAGAATGACAAACATGAATAATTGTGCAAAAAAATTAATTCTGAGAGACCAAGATGCCATATTTTTATATTGTTTTTGGAAGATACTGGATATGAATTGCAAAATATCTAAAAGTGTAGTAGATTTTGAAACTTTAAAAGCAGACCTTGACAGTATATTATGACATTTAATGTAAAAAACCCCAATCGCGGCACGGTGTTGTTCAAGGGAATTACCCATTATCAAAAACTGTGGTTAAGCAAAATCCAAAGTTTGATTTGCAACTGGGCCGCCTTGAAATGGGATTTATTGACATTGTAATTATTTGGCAATATATGAGATGTGTCAATTCGAAATAAATAGAAAATAAAAAAACACAAAACAGTAAACATAAAATTTGAAAAAAGAAGTGCATTAACTCGCACATTTCCCACGTAGAAATTGGGAGATGCATTATGAAAATAACATGAAAAACGGGTAATAGAGTACCGCTGTACATGACTGAATTGTAGTATTTACATGCATGTGTTGGGATGTAAATAATACGAGACAGAACGATATAACATCCAACTATATACACATGCAGATCGATTTGAAGACAGCGTGACAAACATAATAGTATAAGAATAAATTTGAACATACTGTACATATGTTTGGGACATCCGTTATGTTGATCTGTCAATCACATGTTTATAAATGAAAACGAAAGTAGGTAAACACTGATTCGACGAGGTTCCAAGCGTCTGAGAGACGCGAACACGTGGAAATGTTTATAAACACAGTGATTTACGATTTTGGCGTCGAAGCAAGAAACTGTTCGTCTACGTTGTCATCTTGGAAACACTCTAGGTCCTCTGTTGTGTTTATCAATATTTTCTTCCCATGGTGACCACGGAGTTTCGCATATATTCGACCGTCATATGTCCAGCAGCTGTCAAGTTTTTTATTTTTTACTACTTGGCTACTTATTTCTTTTCTGAGTGCTATCTGTTCTCATCCGCTGTCATGCCGACGTGCATAGTTCATGGGTCATAAACTTTTGAACATTTTCAGCTTCTTCTCTTGAACCATTGAAGCAATTTCAACCAATTTTGAAATTCATGGCCCCAGGTTCAGGGGTTCTGGAGTCAGGGTGGGGCTATAATAATCATGTTCATATAGTGAAAATGCATAAATTCTTTACAAATCATCTTCCTTCCCACTGTATATATAAGGCAGATAAACTAAGTGCATGGCTATGTTGATCAAGAGTGCCTCTATCAGGGTTTGGTGCAAGAGGGAAGGGGGGGGGGGGGGCTCTATTGATTAAATAGTGAAAGTGCATTATTTCTTTGAAAATCTTCTCTGCTCCTGGATTCTAAACAAACAAACCAAGTGCATAGTTATGATGAGCAAGGGTGCCTCTTCAAAAATTGTGAATTTCATGGCCCTTAGGTCAGGAGTTCTGGTGTTAGGATGGGGCTCTATTGATTATATAGTGAAAATGCATTAAGGTCAGATGACAATTATACTGTATGTGTACTAAAATAAGCGGATTTTATATCTTAGTGGCTTTGGCACGGACAACAATGCGCTAATTCATGAATACCGTTAATAAATCATAAATAAATACAATACATGGCACAGATGTGTGTAACGCTAATTCATGATTACGCCAACCACTCAATACCCAGTGATTGCGCTAAATTTTGAATACATCAATTTATGTACATGTACAGTATATCAATAATATATGATTTTTCCAAAGAATTTGTCATTGCAGTACCTATACTTTAACAATGAACTTCAAAAAGTTGTGCCTTGTGGGTGGAAATTGTTGTTACAATAATGATTACTCTTTATATTTAAGGTAAATGTTGACTAGGATGAAATATTTTAATTTTATACATGTATCTCAAATAAAGCTACAATTAATATTTTTTTAATAAATGGAATCAGGTCATTGATCAAACCAAAGAGCAAACGCAGATTTGGCAGAAAAAAAATCTGCCCAGGGGTAATTTGAAAGGGTCGGTCGGGTTACAGGAAACAAACTTATTTTTTTTTTTTAGACCTTACCAGGCATTTGCGCAAGATACAAGAGGGTGATGTGTCCTGTATAATCCTATTTGAAATCACTTGAATTGTCAATATCACAATTTTTATGGTATTTATTTTCTAAGACATTTTGAAAACGGATTAGTAATCACAAGATAATGTTTATATTATGAATATTTCTTAAATATTACATGGAGAAACAAAACAGATATTTGAGGAACATGTCGACACACCATAATTCTTTGAAAATCTTCTCTGCTCCTGGGTATTAAGTAGATAAACTAGGTGCACAGTTATAATGAGCAATGATGCTTCTTCCAGATTTGTAAAATTTGTGGCCCCAGGGTCAGGGGTTTAAAGGGAGAGGGTCTGTAAAAAATATAGTTAAAATGCATAATTTCTTTGAAAATCTTCTTCTCTGTCACTGGCTGTATAGCAGACAAACTAATTGCATGATTATGATGAGCAAGGATGCCTTTTCAAAAGATTTGAAAGCCATAACCCCTTGGTCAGGGGTTTTGGTGTTAGGTTGGGGCTCTTTTTAATATATAGAGGCAATGCATTGTTGCTTTTAAAATCTTCTTCTCTGACCCTGGATATTTAGCAAACTTACTAAGTGCATTGTTATAGATGAGCAAGGGTGCTTCCTCCAAAAATTGTGAATTTCTAAGCCCTTGGGTCAGGGGCTCTGGTGTTAGGATGAAGCTATGTTGAATCTATAGTAAAAATGCATTACTTCTTTGAAAATATCTTTTCTGCTTCTGGATATCTAGTAGGCAAACAGAGTACATAAAGTTGTACATGTAATAAGCAAGAGTATTTTTACCAGAGTTTTGAAATTCCGCACCACTTCGACAATTTATTAATTTGCTCTACTGAAAGAAGTTATTTTCTTTTGCTATTCACCTATGACAATTAATCACTGTAAAAAATGTAATTGAAAGGTTAATTGAATAACAGAATTATACAAGAATTTTTTATAATATATTTAATATAAAAAGTACTTTCATAGTTTTTAATGGTCAGGTAGACTTGTAAATAATAGATAAATAAAATTAGATAAAAATACCTTATCTTTATACATTAAATGTTTTTACAAAAACCAAGAGAGGCCAATGTGAGAGGGAATGATATGGGTGTACTAATATTGCTCGAGTTGAATCTACATTACTCTACTATGCTTCCATATAATATGACCAATCATGGCCTTGCTGTGCTGGGGAAGATTTTTAAAGATTTTTTCTATATATTCCTAAGTAAATGTTTGATTGCCCATTGTGGACCCATCCTCCCCTAGGGGTCATGATTTGTACAAATTTGAATCTACACTTTGTCAGGAAGCTTTCACATAAGTTTCATCTTTTCTGACCCAGTGATTCTTGGGAAGATTTTTAAATGACCCTCCCAATTTTCTTTATTTCTTAATTATCTCCCCTTGGAAAAGGGTGTGGCCCTTCATTTGAAGAAATCTGAATGCCCTTTACCCAGGGATACTCTGTGCCAAGTTTGGTTGAAATTGGCCCAGTGGTTCAGGAGAAAAAGATGAAAATGTAAAGAGGTATCAACGATGATGACAAATTTTGTTCAGAAAAGCTCACTTGAGCCTTCAGCTCAGGTGAGCTAAAAAGGAGAGAAAGAATTGCATTTTGAAGTAATAATTTTCATGCTCATGTATTCCAGTGTGACCCACATGCGAACGAGAAAACAGCTTTTTAGCTCACCTGAGCCGAAGGCTCAAGTGAGCTTTTCTGATCACATTTTGTCCGTCGTCCGTCCGTCCGTCTGTCCGTCTGTCTGTCTGTCTGTCCGTCCGTCTGTAAACTTTTCACATTTTTGACTTCTTCTCAAGAACCACTGGGCCAATTTTGACCAAACTTGGTACAAAGCATCCTTGGGTGAAGGGGAATTTAAATTGTTAAAATGAAGGGCCAAGTCCCCTCACAAGGGGAGATAATCAAGAGAAGACAAAAATAGGGTGGGGTCATTAAAAAAGCTTCTTCTCAAGAACCACAGGGCCAGTAAAGCTGAAACTTATGTGGAAGCATCCTGGGGTAGTGTAGATTCTAAATTGTTCAAATCATGACCCCCGGGGGTAGGGCGGGGCCATAATAGGGAATCGAAGTTTTACATTGAAATATATAGGAAAAATCTTTTAAAATCTTCTCCTCAAGAACCACTGGGCCAGAAAAGCTGAAACTTATGTGGAAGCATGCTGGGGTAGTGTAGATTCTAAATTGTTAAAATCATGACCCCCGGGGGTAGGGCGGGGCCTTAATAGGGAATCCAAGTTTTACATTGAAATATATAGGAAAAATCTTTTAAAATCTTCTTCTCAAGAACCACTGGGCCAGAAAAGCTGAAACTTACTTGGAAGCATGCTGGGGTAGTGTAGATTCTAAATTGTTCAAATCATGACCCCTGGGGGTAGGGCGGGGCCATAATAGGGAATCCAAGTTTTACATTGAAATATATAGGAAAAATCTTTTAAAATATTCTTCTCAAGAACCACTGGGCCAGAAAAGCTGAAACTTATGTGGAAGCATGCTGGGGTAGTGTAGATTCTAAATTGTTCAAATCATGACCCCCGGGGGTAGGGCGGGGCCTTAATAGGGAATCCAAGTTTTACATTGAAATATATAGGAAAAATCTTTTAAAATCTTCTTCTCAAGAACCACTGGGCCAGAAAAGCTGAAACTTACTTGGAAGCATGCTGGGGTTATGTAGATTCTAAATTGTTCAAATCATGACCCCCGGGGGTAGGGCGGGGCCACAATAGGGAATCCAAGTTTTACATTGAAATATATAGGAAAAATCTTCTTCTCAAGAACCACTGGGCCAGATAAGCTGAAACTTACTTGGAAGCATGCTGGGGTAGTGTAGATTCCAATTGTTCAAATTATGACCTCTGGGGATAGGGCGGGGCCACAATAAGTACTACGGGGGGGGGGGGAGAAATCAGGTGAAAAACAGCAAGGCCAAAGTTACTCAGGTGAGCGCTGTGGCCCATGGGCCTCTTGTTTGAATAAGGCTTATGGGATTCTGAAGGATGAAAGAAAGCGTCAGGATTACAACAGAAGACACCCAATGGCTGGACTATACACAACAGGGCCATATGACTGGGATCCTCCAGAGTGCTCTGGAAAAAATATGGATGCTGGCTTCAGTTACACAAAACACATAAGGAATAATGCTGTTCTTGGAATGCAGTGGGTTTTAGGAATTGCAGCAAATATTGTTTACATTATGAGAGGTAGATGTCTGTAAAATATATATCAGGCCTTAACATTAATATTTGTCTGTGACTATAGTTCATTCTGTCATTAGACAAAAGTCAATCTCCTGACACACTAGTCTGATTGGATAAGTTATTTTTTGTACAAGTATGGAATATTGTAAAAAAAAATCCACAGAATTCAATTCACCTTTTTTTTTTTAAGAATTGCAAACTTTAAATTTAAAAAGATACATTCTTTAAAGGACATGGTCAATAGTCACTGGTATCATTAAGGACAAGGACAGTCAAGACTTGGTTACAGACATTAGGACTGTATTTCAAATTAGTCATGATTTTATGTTCATGATTAAACAAATCTTTATAACAACTGTTATAAGTTAAAATGTCAAATCCCTGCCTATTACAGTTCTCAAAATATATGATGTGACTGACAGACAGACAGACAGACAAATTTCATGAAAGTTTGCTGCTTGCCTCAAGATGTGCCAGAGATCCATCCAAACAATCTTCCTTGTAATAAAAGTATGTGTTTAAAGTATGATGAAGATGTTTACTTGTTTGTTTTAAAAATAAATTTTTTTGCATTTTGTTTTTTTTTTAGGTCACCATAAGCATAGTCATTTAAATGACTTATTGCTATGGGTTCACCTCTGCGCCATCATCATTGATTGTGCATCATATATATACTTGTAGCCATTTTCAGCTTCTTCTCTAAATTGGCTGTGCTAATTTCAACCATTCTTAGTATGTAACATGAATGGATAAATAGGAACAAAGATTGTGAGATGTGAATTTCATGGCCCAAGACCCCCCCCCCCCCTTCCTCCCTGTACTATAGAATAGAATAGATTATCTATTTAACCAATTTGGGTCAACAGTGGAGCATATCTTCTAAAATCCTCTACTACATCCAGCAGGCAGACTGTGATGATAATGAGCAGCTAGCCCTCTATCAAAACTAAGAACTGTCCAAAATGGGCAAATACTCTAATTTTACAAAATATAATGACCTGTGAATTCTAGATAGATCGTTTTATTGTTTAAATGATATTGTCCTACAGACCTGGTTTAAGGGCTTGTCCCAAGACACAGGTTATTCTAACTAGTTTGAATTCATTTTAAACTGTTTATACGATAACATCACTTGGACTATGTTACACTAGTTTAGCTAGCTTCCCTTATATTTAAGGAATCACTGTCTAGTTAGTAGAGTATGCCAGTGCATCAACGATAGCTGGAAACATGGGATAATTTGCATAACGGGCGAAGCCCTGACAATTACTCTACTAACTAGACAGTGATTTCTCATATTTCCATTGCATTGTGAAATAAAACTGCAAATAAAGATTTTAAAAATGTAGACTAATAGATTTAAATTACAATAGGTCTCCCATGTCAATCTAATAGTCCCCGCCCAGTGACGTCGAACACAAAGACAGCTGCACGAGATTTACATGCATATTAGGCCTCCTTAGCTCCTGGCCTATCGCTTGGCAAAATTTGCATTCCTGTAGAATGATCAAGAAATCAAGTCAACTAACTTTCAAAGAGTTATCACAGAGAAAGCAAATAGAAATGGAAATATATATATATCAATTGTTAGAGGAATTATCATACTTTCTCATGATTTTATCATTTTCCTTTCCAGGTGTTAAGTTAAATAGCTTTCAATGTGGAACATTCTTAGCTGTAACGGCTTCCTTTGTAAGCAGGTAAGTGACTGCAAAATAAATGACAAAGTTATTTCCAGTTACTTTGATTAAGTTTATGTTCATATACATATAACATTTATCTCCTTTTCAAAATTATACCAATAAACTGTGAATTTTTATTTAACTCTGCTGGTCAAAGACCAGAAGAGCTTATGCAATAGTAAGGTGTCCATCGTCAGTCTGTCTTAAGCTGTCCATCTGTAAACAATTTTTCCTCCTACAGTTTTGATCTGATATTTCAGACTAACTTGGCACAAAGTAGACTTAACTAGGATACAAAATTTTATTTATCTGTTTTGATTTTGATGAACAGTGTTGACATGGTTACTAAATATAGAAATTTCTGTGAAATACATTCAAAACGCTACTCCTCCTACAGTTTTGGTCTGATTTCAATATAACTTGGCACACAAGTTGACTACACTAAGACGCAAAATTCTATTTATCTGTTTATTGATTTTGATGAACAGTGTTGCCATGGTTATTAAAAATAGAAATTTCAGTGAAATACTTTCAAAATGCTACTCCTCCTATAGTTGTGGTCTTTTTTCAATATAACTTGGCACACAAGTAGACTACACTAAGGTACACAATTCTTTTCATAGCTTTTTGATTTCGATGAACAGTGTTGCCATGGTTACTAAAAATAGAAATTTCTGCAAAATACTTTCAAAAAGCTACTCCTCCTACAGTTTTAGTCTGATTGCAATAAATCTTGCCACAAAAAGAACCTAAACCAACCAAGAACCATGCATTCTATTTATTACTGTTGCTTAGTTTCAAGTCCACTTTGTGCTACTTTTCTCTTCCTTCCTTTTAATTACAAACCAGTAGAGCTACAGTCTCATCAGAGACTTCTGGTTTTGTTACTACTTACTTGGGTCTTTAAAGTGAAGAAAGTTGTCATGCAGAAGTTTTGTAGATTTAATTTGGATATCTTTATGTACATATCTTTATAAGGGGATGAATGTTTTGCTCGAACTTAGGAATGCATTATTGTAGCAAAAAGTAAACAAATGTATACTATTTGTATACTTTAATATATCATTGCAAGATTTATAATTTAGAACATTAAGTGGTATCTACAAGTGCACTAATTCATGTTCGCTGCCAAAATATTAATTCAAGTCTACACGTATTTTTGATAAATATATGTTGAGAGTGATAATTGACAACCTGTATGATAAATGTAGACAATGAGTGTTAATTCATAATGCATAACATACACATACAGTACATTTATACATATAAATTAACAAACAAATCTGCCTTTGACTACTGATGATTTTGACAGGAGTCCTGTAATTCTGTTTATCTTGCTTTGGATATTTGTGGTTGATAGACTTCATTTTATTCTGATGATTTGGATGTCAGCAGAGTACATCAAAAATATTAGGGTGAGAAAATATGTACACTTTTATGGATTTCCTTTTGCTATGCAGGCATGTAAAGAGCTAAGCTGCAATCAAGATCATAGAAGCTAGCCCAGCTGCTAGGTGATAGATATTTATTTCTATTGAACAGACAGCTAGCCTAGTTGCTAAGTGTTAGAGTTTGAATAAAAAAATATCTGTTTTTACTTATTTTTGGAACCAAAAATTTCAAGCGAAAATATATATGTAAATTCACACTTAAGGGAGCCGACTGGGGTTTTATTGTGTGAAAACTACTATAGGGAAACTCTTTAGTTTTATACCCTATATACCTTACATTGACTTCAGTATACATGCCAAGTTTAGTGAAAATCTACCGTCTGGTTATTTTTCAGGGACCGTCTCAAAATACGGGTACATTTACTATAGGATTATATAGGAAAATACCATTTTTTCGCACTTCGGAGCAAATTATACAAATACTACTATAGACTTTTTGCTCAAATTTTATTATTTGATGGGTAATACTATATTGTACATTTTGTGCAAGAAACACAAAATTCTACCATCTGGTTTCCAGAGGGGGCATCTCAAAATGTCAAAATTCATGATATTTTCCTGTTTTTATGGAGTAAAACAAAACATGACAGATACCACAGATTTACATAAAAAATAGTAACAATGATTGCTATATTCTCAATTTCCTTTGTTTAAAATTCCAAGAGCATACATTTTATACTTTTTATTTTATGGCATAATTAATGACCCCGCTTAAAGAACTACGGTTATTCATAACGTCAAAAAAACACTATTACGACGTCTTTCTACCCATCATTTGAAAAATCGTTAAAAAAATCAGTTAATTAAAAACGTAATTAGATTTTTTGACCTCATATTTCCTAAATTTGTTATTTTTTATAAATTATGTAAAACTAGTTGCTTTAAAAGAGTAAATACGCTTTATTTTACTATGCTGCGTGAAGTATTGCGCAATGAAAACCCCAGTCGGCCCCCTTAATTTGCCAAGATGCAAAACACAATCCCCCTTTTTAGCTCACCTGAACTGAAAGCTTAAGTGAGCTTCAATTTTGATCACATTTTGTCCGTCGTCCCTCTGACCATCTGTCTGTAAAATTTTTCAGTTTTTCAACTTCTTCTCCAGAACCACTGGGCCAATTTCAACCAAACTTGCCACAAAGCATTCTTGGGTGAAGGGGATTCAAATTTATTAAAATGAAGGGCAACACCCTCTTTCAAGGGGAAATAATTAAGAATTAGTGAAAATTTAGTGGTATTTTTAAAAATCTTTTTCAATCTCAAGAATCACTGGGCCAAAAAAGTCAAAATTTATATGGGGTGGGGCCAAAATGGGGGGATCAAAGTTTTACATTTGAATATATAGGGAAAAAAATCTTCTGCTCAAGAACAGCAAAGCCATGTTATATTGATATGGAAGTATCAATATAATATGCCAGTCATATTGATATGGAAGCATCATCAGGTAGTGTAAATTTCAAGTTTGTACAAATCTTGACCCCTGGGGGTAAAATGGGTCCACAATGGGTGAATGAAGTTTTACATTGGAATAAATAGGAAAAAATCTGCTACTCAAGAACAGCAAAGTCATGTTTAGTCATATTGATATGGATTAGATTCTCAGGCAGTGTAAATTCAAGTTTGTTCATTATCTTTTTTTTTAAGTACAACAAAGCCCTGATAAGTCATATATAAATATGGATTTTAGCATCCTCAAGTATCTTTAAAAATCTTAATAATCAATGCCATGATTAGTCAAATTGATATGGAAGCATTCTCAGGTAGTGTATATTCAAGTTTGTTAAAGTCATGACCCCCAGGGGATGGGTGGGGCCATAATAGGGGATCAAAGTTGTACATATGAATATATGGGAAATATCTTTAAAAATCATCTTCTTTTGTTCAAATCATCAGTTAAGGTAACAGTGGTACAACTTAATATATATTTAAACTTTTTAGTACATTGCTTATCTCTTACCAAAGTGCTCAGGTGAGCGATATGGCCCATGGACCTCTTGTTAAAATCTTTTGCACTGCAAAGTAGTATCTAAGAAGGCTATCTTCGATTTGGTACTTAGCATTGAATATTTATGCTTAAGTTCTCCCTACATATAGCTGCTGGGCTACTTAACATTCAAGATCGTAGCTTTACATAGAGGTTACATAATGTCAATATGCTCTTGAACACACCCCTGACTTTTGATGCATGGATTTATGAGGGTGGTCTAGAGGTGTTTTGTTCTCTAAGACCCACTTTTGATAAAATTTAGTTTCTTGAATTCTGAAATATATAACTGTGCTTAGATATAGGACATTTTTGTCATATATATTGAAACAAATTCCATTATATAGGTTTGACAACATATGCAAACATTTTAATGTCAATTGAATGCAGTATTTTCCTTTACATTAAAGAAACCATTATTGTTATACCTTTGTTATACCTGTATAAATCTATACTTAAAGAAGTCTAACATTTCCAATGTTTATACTGAGCGGTCATAAAAAAGTCGATGTTTGACCAATGTTTGAACCTGTCGATGAGATATTGGACCGCTTACGTCATGCTGTGGGCAGGATCAGCTAAATCTTGACAGTGACAGAATTGACCGAGTTTTAGATGTAGTTTTGGCGGTAAAGAAAATTTACGTCATGGAAGTTATATAGCACAAGATAAATGTATTAAAAAAATATAAGGTATAACAAAACATTTATCGTCTGTGTTCTCGGGCAAAAGGTGTTTTGTCGACCCCTCGAACCAAACTGTTTGCCTTTAGTCTAATAGCCTCAAGCAAACAGTTTGATTCTTGCATCTGACACAACGCATATTGCCCTCGAACCCAGTCAATAAAATGTATTATGTTACATGTACTTGTTATCCTAAGTTTATTGTTTATAAGAAGCCCTTTCTGTTATTTCAGATAAAGTATTTGCCTTACCTGGTTCTGATATGGATTATATATTTTAATGTTGTGGACCAGTATGACATAATATTTCACCTAGGTCTCAGTTTCTGGACAGTATATGACCTCTACAACTTCCCCACTCTGCTGATCTTCTACAGTACAGGATCAGTCCTAGTCACCATCTACATCTTCCTGAAATATAAACCTCACCAAAGTCATCATGTTCAATACATCGTGTATTTTCTACAACAGGCATTGGCATTTTATTATTTGTCAGAGACCATACCAAATGAAGCAGATTTAAATGCAGTATTATTATACCACCTGACAATGATTTTAATTTCTAAACTTTTTTCCAAGTATGTTTGGCTCTATGTCAGATCATCACTTCATGACTTGTATACCTTTAGCAGAGGAATTTTAGAGAGAAAATCAGCATTCATTTTAAGCACATTGAAAAAATTTGTTCAACTTATCATCAGAAAGTTTGGTTGTGTTCAGATTATCGCAAGAATGTGGGCCTTGTGCACAGTTCATAACTTTCAAGAAATATGGTCCAGGTGTAATCATTTCTGTCATCAAGTATGGACTAAATGTGTTCAGACCTCTATAGAAATGTGGATGAAATGTGTTCATACTTGCCATAGTCTTCCTAACCTTGCCAATTCCTGTGGGAAATACATCTGTAACAGACTTAAGACATGGTTTCTATCCATTGTGTCAACAAACGTCTCATACTATAAAACCAAAATCTTACAGCTGTGCAGGTGCAATTTTACAGTCTGTTACATATTGGGCTGTTGGTGACAAAAATTAATTTACGTAAAATAGTTTTGCAAATTAAGACATGTACCAGTACATGTATAGAGCAACGTTAGTCTTGAATTTTTTGAAATTATTTGAAATTCTTTATGTAGGCAAACAATCACTATGACAAATCATTTTTATTTAATTTTAAGTAAAAATTATACTGACAAATTTTCATAGGTTGAATCATGGAACAGTAAAAAGCCGACAGCCATTATCTAATGCAGAGTATGTGATGGAGGGACGTTTCTACACTCTGGTCCAACTGAATCAGCTTCGCCTTGACTGCCTGGAGATGAGGGTCAATGCCTGGAGAATGGCTAATGTTCTGTCCAATGTTAAGAGGTATGACTGTATTCCACAATGTTTTCTTCTGGGCATTTGCTTTACAATTATTTTTCTGTGCCAAATTTTCTAACATCGGATATTTGATGCAGTATGTATCTAGCCAGAATGTATATATTATAAAAAAAATTTACTGCAAAGTTTTTATTCCTAGATTTAGCAATTTTGTCCTTGGTGAAAATCATGTGACTTCTGCAGAAATTGAGGAGCATCGACATAGTTCTCGGATTTACCCACAATTGGATCCAATTGCTACCGACTCAGAATCTTCATCAGAAAATGATGAAATTTAACAAAATGCCAATTGTCAGGACTTCCTGTAAAATATTTCTAGTCTGTAAATAAAGCATTAGTTTTTAGCTCACCTGACCTGAAAGCTCAAGGAGCTTTTCTGATCACATTTTGTCTGTCGTCATCTGTCTGTAAACTTTTCACATTTTTGATTTCTTCTCCAGGTCCACTGGGTCAATTTCAACCAAACTTGCCACAATGGATCCTTTGATGAAGGCGATTCAGTTTGTTCAAATGAAGGGCCTTTCTCTTTCAAGGGGAGATAATTAACTAAAGAATTAATCAAAATTTGGTGGCAAGTCTCCTCCTCTAAAACCATTGGTTCAAAACAATTGAAACTTATAAACTTTCATTGCATAGTGTTGATTCAAATTTGTTGAAATTATGACCCCTGGGGGTAAGATGGAGCTACAATGAGGGATCAAAGCTTTACATAGGAATATATAAAAAAAATCTTTGAAAATCATCTTCTCAAGAACAGCAAAGCCATGATTAGTCATAATGATATGGAAGCATCCTCAGGTAGAGTAGATTCAAATTTGTTCAAATCTTGACCCCCAGGGGTAGGGTTGGGCCACAACGAGGGATCAAAATTTTACATAGGAATATGAGGGAAAAAAGCATTATCACAGGAATATATTGATATGGAAGTATCCTCAGGTAGTGTAGATTCAAATTTGTTCAAGTCATGACCCCCAGGGGTAGGGTAGGGCTACAATGAGGGATCAAAGCTTTACATAGGAATATATAGGAAATTATCTTTGAAAATCTTCTCAAGCAATGTCATGATTAGTCATATTGATATGAAAGCATCCTTAGGTAGTTTCAAATTTGTTCAAATCATGACCCCTGGGGGTAGGGTTAGTCCACAATGGGGGATCAAAGTTTTACATAGGAAAAAAATCTACTAATGAAGAAGACTAGGATCATATTGACTCAGGTGAGAGTTGTTGCCCATGGGACTCTTGCTTTTGTTGGTAATCTTGTTTAGAAGTCTAATTGACAGATATATTTATGCCCTCTTTCGAAGAAGGGAGGGCATATTGCTTTGCTGCTGTCTGTCGGTCAGTCGGTCTGTCTGTCTGTTGGTCCACCAACAGTTTCCATTCATTTTCTTCGCAGAGGTTGCACATACTGAAATGAAATTTGGTAAACAGATTTATTATAAGAATATCTAGGTCAAGTTCTATTTTCGGTACGATCGAGCAATTTTTGACAGATTTATGCCCTTTGGACTTAAGAAAATTCCAATTATTTGCAGTTTCCGTTCCTTTTCTTTGCAGAGGTTGCACATACTGAAATGAAATTTAGTATACAGATTTATCATACCAATATTTAGGTCAAGTTCTGTTTTAGGTAGGATTGAGCAATTTTTAACAGAGTTATGCCTAGGGATGTGCAATTTTATCGGTATACCAGTATATCGTAATTTTTAATTGCGTGATACGTATCGTGATACAGAGACTAAAATACCAGTATTTAGGTACCTAAGTTTTGTATATCAGAAATAATGATTAATAACTTATTATGTATTTAATGTAATACTGTTATAAACGTCTCTTTATTAGTCATCTAGTCATACAGGTAATTGGTTACTGGTCAAGTATGCATCTGAGTTATATTGTGTGTACATATATACAGTTCAGTAATGTTTATTTCATCTTTGTTATTCTGTTTTTGAATTTGTGTTTATTTCATCTTTGTTATTCTGTTTTTGAATTTGTTACAGCTTTTTACCACTTGCGTCACAACACATGCTTTTGAATAAACTGTCTACCAGATTCCTGGTGTTTTTCTTGAGGCTACTCTGGAATTTGTGTGACTAGGGTTTAACTGGCTGTGTCTGGGCAGCTTCATTATTGTTCAAGGTTTTTAGCTCTTCTGAGCCAAAGGCTGAAAGAGTTAATGCTATGGCCATCTGGCAGTGGAATAGCATAACTCTTTGGAATATGTGCTATATCTCAGTGGGCCATATCTCAAAAACACCTTGGTCCATTTTTGTCACAGAGTATCCTTGGCCCAAGGACTCTCATTTATAGTAAAAAAAAGAGAGAGATGTGACCCTAAAACAAGGGGAGATAATTAAGGAAATAAGTAGTGGTTGCTAAGAAATCTTCTCAAGAACCACTAGGCAGATACTGCCAAACTTATGCATATGTTGTAAATTAAAAATTAATCAAGGCATCACCCTGGGACAAAGGGCGTGTTCTCAAGGTCACTTCAAAGTTAATCAAACATTATGTTTTTCTTAAAACTTCGATATTTTGCCCACTTTAAGACTAAGATCATCAAATCTTGTCAGTTGATGAATCTTAGTACCTCATGTCGTGTTGATTCAAAGGAGGTCACGGTGACCTACTTTTTAAAGGTATTCATTTTCAATTTGGTTTTCATGCATATCTTGGACACTTCGAAGCCTATGGTCATCAAAACTTGCAAGTTTGTGCATCATGGGGCCTAGAAGTGTGTCAACCAAAAATTGGTCACTACCTACTTTCTGAATTTAATGGCTATTCATTTTCAAAACATTTACTGTAATGGTCATTATTTTGGATACCGAGAGGTTAAAAATCATCAAACTTTGTAAGATGGTCCAACTTGGGGCCTTGAAACATATTCGTCCTAAAGTAGGTCACAGTGACCTACTTTTTAGCTCACCTGAGCCAAAGGCTCAAGTGAGCATTTCTGATCGAAATTTGTCCGTTGTCGGTGTTGTCATTGTTAACTTTTCACATTTTCATCTTCTTCTCCAGAACTACTGGGCCAATTTCAACCAAACTTGCCACAAAGTGTCCTTGGGTTAAGAGGATTCAAATTTCTTCAAATGAAGGGCCACATCTTCTTCCAAGGGGAGATAATAATGATTTTGTGAAAAATTAATGGCATCATTTAAAAATCTTCTTCTCAAGAACCACTGTGCGTGAAAACATGAAACTTATGTGGAATCATAAATTCAAATTTGCTCAACTCATGACCCCTGGGGGTAGGATGGGGCCACAATGGGCGATCAGAGTTTTACATAGGAATACAGAGGAAAAATCTTTAAAATTCTTCACAAGAACACCAAAGCCATAATTGGTCATAATAATAGTAGAGCATCCTGAAGTAATGTAGATTTAATTTTGTTCAAATCATGACCCCTCTCCCCCCACCCCCAAGAGAACAAAGGGGATATAACAGGGGGATCATATAGTTATACAAAGGAATATAAAGGATATATCGATAAAAATTTTCATCTTAAGAACAGCAAAGCCATTATGTGTCATATTAATTCAAAAAGCATCCTTAGGAGTGTAGATTCAAGTGCTTAAATCATACCCCCTTTTATATTTAAACTTTTCAATATTATAAACTGATTTCTGCTTTTTCCTAGCCAAAGTGCTCAGGTGAGCAATGCGGCCCCTGGGTCTCTAGTTTAATTTTTCAGGTATTCATTTTAAAATTGTTTTAAAGGTATATTTTGGATATTGTGAAGCTTAAGATCAGCAAACCTTGTCAGTTGATGAATCCTAAGGCTGCAGAGTATATATTAACCAAGAAGTAGGAAATGATGACTACTTTTGAAATTTTATCATTATATTTATATATTTCAGATACTAAGTCACTTAAAATCATCAGACTTTGTCAGTTCATGCATCTTCAGTTAGTCAGAGAGTGTCAACCAAAAAGTAGTTAAGTAGGTCATAGAGACCTACTTTTACAATTCAAAGGCTATATCTAAATATTTCAATTAATAAGAGGCTTAGAATCATCAAACTTCATAGATCGAGGTTCTGTTTGGACTATGTTAACTAAAAAGTAGGTAACAGAGACCTTCTTTTGGAATTTAATGGCTTTATCTAATTATTTCTAGAGTAAGAGGCTTAGTAATGGAATCATCAAACTTTTGTCAGTTGATACATTATGGGTCCTCAAAGTGTGTCAGAAAGTAGGTCAGGGTGACCTACTTTCTTCGGCTATGAAAAAAAGCAAAAATCAGTTCAGTATTGAAAAGTTTGGGGAGGGGGGGGGGGGAGAGAGAGAGACTTGAATTTTAAACTACCTGATGATGCTTCCAAATCATTAATATAACGAATGGTTTTGCTGTTGAGCAAAGGATTTTTTCCTAATATAAATTCATTTGTAAAAATTTGATCCCCCATTGTGGCCCCACCCTACCCCCAGGGGCCCTCATTTGAACAAATTTGATTCTACACTACCTGAGGATGCACCCATATCAATTTGACTAATCATGACTTTTCTGTTCTTGAGAAAAAGATTTTTTCCTATATATTCTTATATCCCCCATTGTGGCCCCACTCTACCCCAGGAGGTCATGATTTGAACGAACTTGGATCTACACTAGATGAGGATGCTTCCATATAAATAGATCAATCATGGCTTTGCTGTTCTTGAGAAGAAGATTTTTAAGTTTTTTTCCTATATACACTTATCAAAAACTTTGATCCTCCATTGTGGCCCCACCCAACCCCCAGGGGTCTTGATCGAACAAAAATTTGAATCTAAACTACCTGAGGATGCTTCCATTAAAATATGACCAATAATGACTTTGCTGTTCTGGAGAAGAGTTTTAAAGAATTTTCCTATGTATTCCTATGCTAAACTTTGATCACCCATTCTGCCCCACCCTACCCCTGGGGGTCGTGATTTGAACAAACTTGGATCTACACTACCTGAGGATGCTTCCATATAAATATGACCAATCATATGGCTTTGCTGTTCTCGAGAAGAAGAGTTTTAAAGAATTTTCCTATGTATTCCTATGCTTAACTTTGATCGCCCTTTCTGCCCCACCCTACCCCTTGGGGTCATGACTTGAACAAACTTGAATCTACACTACCTCAGGATGTTTCCACACAAGTTTCATCTTTCCTTGCCCAGTGGTTCTTGAGAAGAAGATTTTTTAAATGATGCCATTATGTTTTCACTAATTCCTTATTATCTCCCCTTTAATTCAAAGGCTATATCTAAATATTTCAATTAATAAGAGGCTTAGAATGATCAAACTTGATACATCTGGGTTCTTGTACTATGTAAACTAAAAAGTAGGTTACAGTGACCTACTTTAGGAATTTCATTGCCATATCTAAATATTTCAAATAGAGGCTTGGAATCATCAAACTTTGTCAGTTGATGCGTCTTGGATCCTTGGGATATTTCAACTAAAAATTGTATCAGTGTGACCTATTTTTTGGAATTTCACACTTTTATCTCAATATTTAGGATAAGAAGAAGCTTGAATTCATCATATTTTGTTAGTTGATGCATCTTAGTTCAACGGACTGTCTCAACTAATAAGTAGTCACAGTGATCTACTTTTGGAATTTCATAGTTGTATCTCAATATTAAGTGTATTAAGAGACTTTATTAGTTGCCTCACTAGGGTCCTTGTATTGTGTCAACCAAAATGTGGGTCACTATATCATAATTTTGGAATTTCATGGCTATATCTAAATACTGTATGCAGGGTTATTTTTGCCCTGTGTTATTTTCACTCTTTCACACTTGCAAACATTCCCCCAGTCACAATTCTGTTTAAGAAATTATACTGTGTTTTTTTTAATTTGCCCCATTTTAAATTCACCCACCTGTGAGAAGGGAAAAAAAAAACGGGGTGAAAATTTCCCTGTATACAGTATTAAAGATTATAAGGGGCCTAGAGCAAAGTATGTTTACCAAAAGTAGGTCGTAGTGACCTCTTTTTGGAATTTCAAGGCTTTATTTAAAGTTACATAATGAGTCAAAATCATGTTTCTTTTAAGAAAGTTGTATCACAAAACAAAAGATTTATGTGAAATATGAATATAGCAAAGTTTTGGCAACTCAACTGCACTGTAAAGCAAGAAAAAAGCTGCAAAATGTAAGTGCCGGAAAAACAAATGTTGTATCTATCGCTTTGTTTTTATCGTCAATGTCCACAATGTCAAGGTCACGCATCCTTAATTTTTAGCCTGAAACTTGTAAACTGGAGTAAGCAGAAGTGAGAAATAAGTTCTGATCATCTTTTTTGAAGATTGTATAAAAATTCTCAGTCATCCGACATTTATATCTATGGAATTGAAACCATGGTAAATTCTTCAACTTTTCAGCGCATGTGTACAATAAAGAGGAAGAAGTGAAGCAATATTTTTGTGTTGGGTTATACAAAGATTTTTTTTACTTTTATTTTTCTCCATTAAAGTAGATTTTTTAGGTTCTGAAACCTGTAATTTTCTGAAACCTAATACTTTCAAGAACTGAACAAAATTTGCATGTGTCATGCATAAATTCTACTTTTGTCAATTTTTGCATTTTTCCGTCACAGTGTCACTTTAAATATTTCCAATACTAAGAGGCTTAGAACAGAAGTGGTTGTAAATTTATCAGAAGAGTAATTCTAGACCCTTGGTCCTCTTGTTTAATTTCATTGTACACTTAACTAGAAAACCTGACACAGTCAGAGAAAGCCCCACTATTAAGGGCTGTTTAAGGACTTAGAAGATACATAATCAGGCATCCAATGTGATATTACCAGCCTTTCTCTTATAGTAAAGTACTTCTGTAAAAATTTGAAAACTTGAGAGTTTTTGCATCACAACAAAATTGTCAAGGATACACATATATTCAAAACATGTACAGAAAAAAAACTAGATATCATTGAGATGGTGGCCATCTCAAAGGGCCCCGCTTTCATCAACGAACATGAAAATGTAAGGTAGCTGAAAAGGGTTTATTTTGAAGAGGAATGTTTGTGTACTATTAAGGGATGTTTTGTTCGAGTCTAAAGGGCTCTTATGTCATCCTTGATATAATAAAAAAAATGGCAAGAAAATCACGAGTACTCCATACCCTCTATCAAAAAACGGCACAAAAATCATGAATGTTGCATATCCTCTATGAAAATTGTTGCATATCCTCTATCAAAATATGGAAGGAAAATCACAAATGTTCCGTACCCTTAGTCAATTGGTAAAGTTTGAGGCTGACTGGACTTAATGGAAAAAAATTATGCATCGAACAAAGATTTTAAACAGAAAGGCTATTTTTTGACCTTGACCTAGAAACTTCGTTCAAGGTCACTGCACATTCATTGACCAGTGGCACTCTGTGGGTGAAGTATTAGCCAGATTGGGCCAAGGAGAGAGAAAATATGCTCCAGACAAGAATTTAAACAGAGAGCTATTTTTGACCTTGACCCTTGACCTAGAAACTTCGTTCAGGTCACTGCACATCCATTGACCAGTGGCACTCTCTGAGTGAAGAATGAGCCACATTGGACCAAGAGGAAAGAAGATATGCTCTGGACAAGGATTTTTCATATAATTCTGCCATGACCTTAACCTTAGACCTAGAAACATAGTTCAAGGTCACTGCACACCCTTTACCCAAAGACACTGTGGGTGAAGTATGAGCCAGATTGGGCCAAGGAGAGAGAAGATATGCTCCAGACAAGAGATCTTGGACAGACAGATGAACAGACGGACGGACAGACAGACTGATCCCTATAGGGCACCCGCAGAGGGGGGCCCTAAAAAATGATATGATCCTAAACTCTATAGGTCTCCTGCTCTTATATTAAAGTACCTTTGTATAAAGAACAAGGTTCACTTAGGGCCTTTTTTGGCCCTGTGAATTTCTGAAAAACTGAAACTGCTTAGTTTTAGTTGACAATGCATTAAATTTCAATTAGACATATGGCGATCGCGAATCTACTAAAAATGACGTAATTTTCTGGTTAGTCAATGCATTATGACGTCATGAAATGCGTCATTTTCCTCATATCCTGAACAATTCTACAAAAACAGACAATTTTTAAAGGTATTTTTCGATAATTAATATAGAGCGCAATCTCTGATCTAAAATATGCAATTATCTACTGATAGAACTGTTTCTGAGGATTACAAAACATGTTTTATTTTTTAGATCAGAGGGTGCGCTCATATTATTTTTCTTCTCTGAAAGTACTTAAATATACCTGTTTTCCTTAAAATTCAAGAACATTGCAATTCCATAAAGCTTGTTTTCCAAGACCTGGACTTTGAGGAGAAAAATTTTAATAGGAAATGAAAGCACTAGGACTCTACTTTATCTTGATGTTTAAAATGGAACATAATGTGTTAGTCAATAAATTGGTATATCTACAGGGCCATTTTATGCATAAAGTGAACCTAGTTCTTTGAAAACCTTGTGTTCAAAACCGAGATATTGTGTCACAACAAAAGTGTCGATGATGTACAGTACACTGAAACATGTACAGACATACAAAGTGATATGATCCATTTTACAGGAATATAATTTACTGGAACAAACACAAAACAGTATGTTTCATTTTTTTATTCAATTAAATTTCAATAACAATGTATGCAATTTATACTGAAAGCATTCATATTTTGAATTGAATCTCGCTCTGTAAGATTTTCATATTGTACTTTCCGGTACTTGAATTTTTACTGCTGCAGTTTTTATTTAATGTTTTGCTGATTTGTCAATGTACATTTATCTAAAACATAATGAATATAAAGATACAAGGGTGTAAACAGTTTTTATGGACTAAAAGAAATCATTCATTGTTGAGACATTGTGGAGTCAATTAATTTCCATGGTTGTCACATTTCACATCGTAAAATATGATGAAGACAAGACGTGGTTTACAAAGAATGAAGTCAGTGTTATAAAAAAAGCCATGGTCCTTTAGTAAAAATTGTCCACTAAAAGTAATTCAAACATTCAATGTATAAAATAACACATACTTCATCAGCAATATTTACTTGCAACTAATTTCCAACACTTAAAATGTTAAAACATTGTATGTATCAATGTAAAATCAGTGTTGCAAACAAGCTATCACAGGTTTACTTGATTATCTCTTCACCAGTCACAATCTTCTTCCATCTTGAGGAATATTTCACACATTTTTCGGTGTCACTTTAACACTGATACTTGAGACAGATAACTGATGGTTAGCGTCTTTTCTTACTTGGTGGACCACCAATACTGGAGTCCCGTGACCGTTTTTTGTCTTGGAAAAGAATATAAGTGATGTCAAGTTAAGGCAAATAATTTACTCTGTAGGCCACTGATATTCAGATATCAGCTTCTTTTAGGAAGAAAATGTGAGCAAGCTTATAGTGAAGTGCTTCATTATAAACAATTTGTTATATCTGACAAGTTCAAAGTATGTTTTAATGTATAGGAGTAAAAATCTGTTCACTGTAAGCATTAATTCATTGTAAGAGTGTTAGCTGTAACCATGTTTTACTGTGTGTACCTGTTACATAAAAACCTGAATTGCCTTCTCCTGAAAAGCAAGGTATATTTCATACCTGTACAGAAAACTTGCATTTAAGTCTAAAAATAATGTGCCAAATTGAAAGAAATTATAAACTGAATAGTTGGCATCACAGGTAATAACCTCTATCAAAATATGAGTATTAACAAATTTAACATGAAAGTAAATGTATGTCTCTTTCTCTACAAAATTTTAGATGGGTGTAAAGGATATCTCTCAATGGCGATTTCTTGTCTGAGTATTCCGGTTAGGATAAACTCTGCATTAACAATGGTGACTCCAGCTTTCACTGCTGCCTCACACATTCCTTTATCCTCAGGACATGAAATGATCACTACTTTTTCCCCAGCTTTCTTGGGAAGGGTGGTCAGGTACTGAAAAGATCAAAAGAGAGTTTGGAATTTCTGAAAGGAGACCATGAACTGGTGCATGTTAAACTGGAGCACTTTATCAGAGAATAATACACTTGAGAAATCATTAAAAATTATAAACACTGTTGAGCTCTACAGACACTATAGAAATAGAGGTCAACTTCTGTTGCCTAGCTGTTAGTGAGAAAATCTTGTAAACAATCTTAGTCCAACTGAAGCCAAAAAGGCTGCTTTTTTTTTTTTTTTTTTGCATAATTATCTAGAATTTCCATATGGGATTAAAAAATATACTTTATGGCACAGCGCTGCAATCTTTTTAGAGTTTTACAAGAGTCACAAACATCTGATTTACCAGCTCCGCTTACACGCTGCTGGTAAAACTCAGTTTGCAACCGTTAAATCAGCATTAATGGTCACAAATACGAAGACAATTATTCCCTAACTACAGTTTGAAATAAAATGAGGTTTAATATACACATGTTTAAAAATGCTAGTTATCAAAGCCCTACCTCTCAAAATTCAAAAGTCATTAGTGAACTTAACACTTGGAGTATTCTTGAAAAGCAAGTCAAAAGTCGTGGTCAAAAGGACTGTTAATTGATAATGAATGAAAATGAATGTTGCTCTGCTTTGTAGGCAACACAAATATACACTCCCAATTTCTGGCTTTAATCTTGTTAAAATGATTAAGGTTGGTATGCCTCTTCTGGTTTGAATCAAGTATGAAGGCATGGCCTTCCAAATGCAAAAATTACTAGATGTATTGCAATGCAACAAATGCCCCTGCAAGAGCCAAAATTTCAATTTGTTTGCACAAAAGATTTTTTTTCTAAGTTTCTAAGAGAGAAAACTCATCCAACCACAACTGTCAAAAATCATCAAACCATGACCAAATTCAGACTTGACCTGTATTTTCTGGTAAATTACCTACATATGCAATTTCAACCTTATACATACATCCCTACAAAAGTTAGAGAACGGAAACTGAAAGTTTCTTATTTTTTCTAAGTTCAAGAGGTTAACTCTGTCAAAAATCATCAGACCATGACCAAATTTGAACTTGATCTGCGTATTCCTATGACATATCCATAGGTCAAATTTGAGTTGAATGTGTGCGATTGTTGCAGAGATAATGGACGGAAAGTCAATGATGACAGAAAGACAGAATGACGGAACAGGGTAACACTATATGCCCCCAGCCATTTTATGGCAGGGGGCGTAATAAAGTATTGGCCAAAACACCATTTACATATGTGACCTTGTCCATATGACAAAAACTCCTAATTATAACAGAACTCTTGGTCACAAACAATCATTGTGCTAAGTAAGACCTCCTGATGCTCCTCAAATACAAGTTACCGTACAAGTGGAAATTTTAGTGAGACGCAAATTTAGCGATTTATCCTTCAGAAATGGTAAATAATTTTAGCGAGATGTAATTTGAGCGATTTTATAATGTCAAGAGAGAAGCTATTACAATCCATATGGAATAAACTGTTAGCGATATTCAATTTTAGCGATCTCAGAACCCTCGCTAAAAATCCCAAAATTGAATCCTTGCTAAAAATTCTTCTTATTTGGTACGTCTATTGGAATTCTTTATTTTATGTGATTTAATACTTTTTACTTCCAAGCTCCTTGATCTTGACCTTGTCTAGATAACCCTGGTTTGGTACAAGACATACCTTCTGACCACAAGCAACCTTCATGCCAAATATGATATTCTAATGTTTCTTTGTTTCAAAATTATTTCAAAGATGGGAATCCTGTGTCCTTGATGTGGTACAGAATTGTGTTACACCTCTATAGTTACATAAAAACCTTCCTACCAAGTATAAATCTATGAAGTTCAAGTATTGAAAAATAATTTTACATGAAACATACAACAAAATCTTTCAAGTACCGGTAGCTTTCTCCCTTTCAAAGTAAAGCATGTGAAAAATAATTTTACATTTTACACTTCTGAATGTTATGGCTTAAGCAATGCAAAACAAAACATTTTTGAAAAGCCATAACTTTAAATTTCATCAAAAAAATGAAAGAAAAAGTGAGCAAGCTCACATACCCCACACTCCCCCAAAACTCAACAATGCAACACGTAATGAATGGCACAGTGCATTTTAAAAACACAGTATAATTCAAAAAGGGGCATTACTTGCAAAAAATCATCACATCAAAACTTCTTGCATATAAGGACATTCAAATCTTTGTATGTTACAAATTTAATTGGGCTGAAGTTTCTAGATAAATAATGGAATCAAAATTACTTGGTAATATACAAATCTATACATTATGTCTGAAATACCTACAAAGTTTCAGGAAATTCAGTGCAGGAGTTATGCCGACAAACTGTTATTTAAATTCCTCAGTGATTTCGATTTGTTAATGAGTGTAAGTTCATGTCCAACACATGACAATTTACACATTTAAATAATTGATGGAAACAAAATTATGATGTAGTCATATGAATTTGTTTATATACTGTACTTATGAAATTATTTAAGGCAAAGCACCAATTTGGGGGGGGGGGGGGGTGAGTCATAAAATATTTCACATAAAATTTCATTACAAAAGCTGACTCCAGTGGATTTCCTTATTACCTAGCTGGAAAGTTTCTTCAATAATAGGCAAAACTCTTAAGGCAAAAATAATGGAATCGGAGTTTCCTGGTAATATGCACATCTACACACTGTGTACTAAATATCTGCAAAGTTTGACCAAATTCTGTGCAGTGGTTTAAGAGGAGTTGCGCTGACAAACTGTTCATCTCTATATTCAAGATATGGCCAAAAATCTAAGTTGAAAAGTGCTGAAATTCCTAGAAAAATAATGGAATCTGAATTTCATCGTAATATGCACATCAACACTTTGTGTGCTAAATATCTGCAAAGTTTGTCGAAATTCTGTGCAGTGGTTTAAGAGGAGTTGCGCTGACAAACTGTTCATCTCTATATTCAAGATATGGCCAAAAATCAAAGTTGGAAAGTGCTGAAATTCCCAGGAAAATAATGGAATGGGAATTTCCTGGTAATATGCACATCAACACATTGTGTGCTAAATATCTGCAAAGTTTGTCGAAATTCTGTGCAGCGGTTTAAGAGGAGTTGCGCTGACAAACTGTTCATCTCTATATTCAAAATATGGCCAAAAATCAAAAGTTGAAAAGTGCTGAAATTCCCAGAAAAAAAAAATGGAATGGGAATTTCCTGGTAATATGCACATCAACACATTGTGTGCTAAATATCTGCAAAGTTTGACGAAATTCTGTGCAACAGTTTATGAGGAGTTGCGCTGACAAACTGTTCATCTCTATATTCAAAATATGGCCAAAAATCAAAGTTGAAAAGTGCTGAAATTCCCAGAAAAAAAAATGGAATGGGAATTTCCTGGTAATATGCACATCAACATATTGTGTGCTAAATATCTGCAAAGTTTGACGAAATTCTGTGCAACAGTTTATGAGGAGTTGCGCTGACAATCTAATCTGTTCATCTCTATATTCAAGATATGGCCAAAAATCTAAGTTGAAAAGTGCCAAAATTCCCAGAAAAAATAAGGGAATCGAAATTTTCTGGTAACATGCACATCTACACATTGTGTCCTAAATATTTGCAAAGTTTGACGAAATTCTGTGCAGCGGTTTATGAGGAGTTGCGCGGACAAAAAAACCAGGACTGACGGACGGGTCAAAAACGTTATACCTCATGCAACTTGTTGCCTGGGGTATAAAGATTGTCTACGCTTTCAGATGATCAGTCAAAAATAAATTCTCTTACCTCTGCACCCGAACAAGTAATTATGTCTGAAAAGTAAAGGGAATATCGTTACTGACAGGTCATACATAATTATGTCTGAAATGTAAAGGGAATATCTTTACCTACAGGTCATACAAATAACCTCAAAATCCATGTTTTATTATATCAGTACCAGAATCTAATTCTTTCTCTTAGCCAGTCATTAAAGGGCCAAATCTTTTTTTCAGCACATGCCCTTCTGGCAAGTGTATCCACTAATTACACTAGCCCAAACAAATATTTACATGTACATGCCCAGAAATCAAGTATGTGTAATTTTATTCTTTATATTTGCCTTTTCATGTCAAGGAAATCTTTTTTTCCGAGAGCATCTATTGATATGCCATTAATTGTTTTCAACACTTTTTGTGTCTCCAATGCAATAGAGTTTCTTGTTAATCTTGGTAGAATAACCTGCTGTTAAAATCTTATTTTATGCTTCACTTTAGATGAGTAATCAAATACTTTAGTGTATATTAAATGCTATATTGATGTTATTTTGATGTGTACTTCACAAATGAAAATGAAACATCTGATGAATTGATCACTCGAATCAAAAGTGAAAGTACGTCGTTATAATCAATATGAAGGTTTAAGACTCCAAATTAACATGCCCTTTGGGCTTGTAAGTGTGCAATTTCCACATGCCCACTTTCAACTTTACCAGGTTATGCACTGGACTTCGAAGACTGCTTAACTAGTTATCTTACTTTGTATAATAATATACAGTTGAACTTTGGTTTCTCAGTAATCATGGATATGTTGAAGTAAATGAATTTCTAAACACTTACTATTGAAGTATTTAACCCTTAATATCTTAAGTCCTCGGATATCTCTAAGCTTTTCCTCTGTCCCACTGAGATAACAAGGTTAGACTGTATTATAAAGTACCTTTCATGTTGGCTGGGTCTGGTTTGACAGACTTGGTGACATGGATCTGGTATCCTGACAACAGGCTAGCCTCACTGGCCTTCTCCAGAGATAGGTGAAGAGTAAACTTATACTGCCTCTCTGCTGCTTCATCACGGATTAAAAAAGGAACATGATCTGTAATACAAACAGAAGACTCGCTAGAAGCTATCCATTATGTTCCAATGTAACATACTACAAGTAGAGTTTTTTCAAAAATCTTACCGTCTTTAGCAACAACCTTAAACAGTAAACTGACCTAAACCTATCAGGCCGTATAATTCTTGAAAATTACTTGGCTTTGTATTTCTTCATAATTTTTTTTCTGACATAAACCCTACCAAGTGAAAAGTTAACAGATGTTCGACTGTCTCCGTAAACTTCGACTCTGTTTCCGAGATCATTCGGCAAACCTCGGCTGATTCCATCCCCTTTGTGATATGTAGATGAGGTACGAATCGGCCGAGGTGTTGCTGAGTGCTGCCGAGATTAGAAAGACAGTGAAAAACAAAGGGAAAAAGATATATACAAGCTGTAAAGCTTGCATGCAATAAAGATCAATTCTCTTAACAATGAAAATATAGAATTTTTTTTTGGTAATTGCTTTAAAAAAAAAAAAAGCATGTTATTTTGAATTAATTACTGCCAATTTCCACTGTTTGTTTTGTCATATTTTTTTACGATTGAAAATCTTGAAAAATTGTTAAGTCGTACGAAAATTAGATCATCAGAAAATTATCTCCCTTGCCTTGAACAGCATTTCAACCAATGAAATAATTGAAAATTTTTTCATCATGCAATTTCTACCAATCACAAAAGAGAGGAAGTGCATAGTCTGAAGACTGTAAAATACTTCAACTCTGTGTACCGTCTTCCAAGGAAGACGGTAATAATTCACAATATCAGATATCCTTTTCTGCATTAAAGACAAAAAGTGCAAACTTTACTATTAAGAAATCTTTTTAAAAAATTGTGAAGTCATGCTGTTCACAAATTGACACAAGAATTCATTATTCCAGATTCATGTTTTTCAAAAGAATATTTTTCCAAAATTGTCAAAGCTTTTGACAAAAATTTGCAGATTTTAACTACAGAATACTTAAAAATTTGCTTACTAATAGGAGTTATCTAAGATAATGGAAAGGTATATCTAATTATGTTCTTAAGGAATGTGCTGAAACAAAAACTTATATGAATGTCAAAATATTCAAAGAATATTGAATGTTGTTAGTGAAATCTTAAAATTCAATGTATCATGGAAACTAAATGTATGATTCTATACTGAAGTCAATGCAAAAACAATTTTGTTTACCAATCTTATATCATTTGTAGCCCTTAGAATTTATATATACAAAATGTGATGCAGACTGGAGGAAATTAGCTGAATCATCAGATAGAATTTGTTTTTTCCTTCTAATAAATGTTTTTTTTATTGTTACTATTTTTCCCATAAATTTGTATGGATTTTTGTTATTGTATTTGATTTTCTTTGTTGTTTATCAATGATAAAACATATATGTATATAAACTATAAAAATTTTATGATGCAGAATTTTTTTTTTTTAATAAATAGCATAGCCATTATGTAAAGAGTCTAGCTGAATTCAGGGATGGGGTCAATTACATAGGAATGTAATTAATTAAATTACAATTACTTGCCCAAAACCTTCAATTAAATTACCATTACCATTACAAAGATTTTGAAATGTAATTAATTAAATTACAATTAGTTTGCAAATGTAATTAATTAAATTACAAATTACATTTTAAGAAAACACTTAAATAGTCATGAACGTTCCTTTGTATTCATATCAGATTCAGTTACAACATTTTTGTTCAACATTTACATTAGATGTTTAACGATGTTTCAAATATTGTGTTCCCTAACCCACTCCTATCAGGTTTGACGCTTTTCCTGTCACACTAAAAGTTCTTTCTGCTGGGGCATATGTGACAGGAATACGATAATGGCTAACAAGTTTACTCATGTTTTTAATAAATAGCATAGCCACAAAATTTTATGTCATATTTTTAAGCTTTCTGATATATTTATGTAAAACAATGGATGCATTTTGCCTTGATGGTTCCCTTTTCAGCATTCTAAGATTTCTCAAAATGTTGGTTTTTGACAAACAAAGGATTAGAAGCCCTTGGACTATTTAATTTAAATGTCAGTTAATAAACAACTTAATCAAAATTATTAATTTATATGTAAATTAAACACAGAGATATTATTTGAATTCAAAAGTTTTAAAGAAAATGCACAAGAGAAAAAAAAATCACTAAGAAGGACAAATATCTGAATTCCTTTAACAAAAATAACTATCAAAATATTTTGTCAGGATAAGTGCGCATGCCCAACATGTAGACGGACAAGATTTTCTGAGAGGAAGGTTTTTACCTAAAAACTCGAAATTATTGAAATCAGAAAGCCTAAAGTGCAGTGACTTTAATTATGATAACCTTTGAAGTATTATGTGACAACTTTTGAAAGAATATATAACGCCAAACATCGGGAAAATGTTCTGTGTATTTTCGGTAAGTCAGTTTACTTGGTGAGTGATACTCATTCTGTTTATGACTGTACATGTAAACTGTCTTTGTCTTAACAATGACGGATATCTCCAAAAAACGAGGACTAGATAAAATGGACAGTGCAGACGAGTGTATGGAACAAGGCGATCAAAGTAATCAGAAAATGGAAGATTTTCAGTTAAGGGATATTATGCAGGGCATTACAAGTATTCAGACTACTTTGGCGAATTTTATGTTACGGCTCGATGGACAAGGTCGACACATAGATGAAATCACAAAAGAAATCAGAGCAAAAAATGGTATACAAGAAAGACTAGAAACTGTTCAAGAGCAGGCCAACGACACATTATACCTTGTGACAGAACTGCAGGATAACCAGAAAAAAATGGAACGTGAAATGAACAGACTCAAAGATTATGTAGTTCGTCTTGAATACCGCGTAAATTCGCAAAGTAGCCAAATAGTTGATCTCAAGTCAAGATCAATGGAAAATAACATTATTGTTAGTGGACTAGAGGAAAAAACCCCAGAGAGGAAGTCGCCAGAAAACTTAGCAAAAACTCTGAGAAATGTAATACTATTCATATCGGAGATGGAAATGGAGGAGACAGTGGTAGATGAATTACAAATACAGAAACTCTTCCGAATGGGAGAATATGATGCTCAACGAAAGTTTCCTAGACCGATTTGTGTGCAATTTGCTGATAAGGCTCAAAAGGATCTTGTAATGAAGCACATAAAAGTTTTAAAAGAAAAGAAGTCGGACATTAGAATTGCCCAACAACAACCAGAGGAGATACGGGAAAGAAGAAAACAGTTATATGAAGTTCAAAGAAAATATGCAGAGCGAAATATCGAGACGAAAATGAAGGGGGACAAACTTATTTTCACTTAGAGTAATTCAATCTACAGAGAGAAAGTAGGATCTCTCCCCACGGCAGACGAGGTGATTACCAGCGACGCAGTCAAGATTACCGTTAACCCAGGAAAGTCAATTGAGGACAACGGAAACCGGTTTATGGCACATTCCACCCAAGTCGATTCCTATAAACAGATCAAACGATCACTGGTGGAAATCATGCGTATCGAAACCGTACCAAGTGCGAGCCATAACGTTTACGCTTACCGTTTCACAAGCAGTGATGGGATAATCCATGAAGGTTCAAATGATGACGGGGAACATGGGGCGGGACGGCTATTACTAAAACTGCTAGCTGAAAATGAAGTTAACAACTTACTGGTGGTTGTGTCTCGATGGCATGGAAACAACATTGGACCCCGTCGGTTCTCCCATATTAAAGAAGCAGGCCTCAGTGCGGTTAAAAATTTACCAACTTCAGTTTGACACCATGAAAAATAAACCCAGTGTTATGTACAATTTTAGAACTGCTTAATATCGAGTTCTTGTATTTATCTTATTTCATCTTACAGGTTAACTATATTTAATAGGTAAAATATGTGTTTACCGACTTTCTAGTATTCCGGAATTCTTTTTTCCAACCTATAATATTCCGGTAATTTTTGAAACATAATATTTCCTGTTCTTGCTGCTCGCTTTTCCCTTTTCCCGATAATATATTGGCTCAAACTGTACGCTGTATGTAAGTTGATTTTTCCTCAACATGTCACATAACACGGAGGGATCTGTATGCATTGTCTCATTTGTTTCATATAGATACATAACCTAATTATTAAAAAAAGATAAACAAGTTGTGATTATAATACACCACTAATGGTTTCCCTTGAAAGAGAATAAAAAAAACAAACAAATTTTTAATTCACAACTTGTTGGGTGAATTCACATATTTTTCTACAAATAGAAAAGACTCTGTATACTGTATTCCCTACACCTGTAAACTCACTTTCATTCTTTTTAAAGGTGTTTAGTGTTAACTCTTTAGTAATATCAATTATATGTTTTTGGTATAAACTTTCTACTCTCAAAAACAAGGCATGTTTTCTCAGACAATCCACATACTTTTGTATATACACTTTTGTTATCTTTTATTTATCTTTTTGTTTCTGTCTTGTATGGGGTCAGCAATATTTTCATCCATACTTTTAAAATATTTATGGATCATAATAAGAACAACAACCTAAAAATACTTACAGTAAACTGTCAAGGCCTTGGTAACATTCATAAAAGAAGAGATGTGCTTAAGAATTTAAAAGCTAAGAATTATAATGTTTATTTTTTCAAGATACCCATTTTGTGGGAAAAGATGAAAACTTTATAAGAACACAGTGGGGATATAAAGCATTTTTTAGTTCATTCAAATCCAATTCAAGGGGAGTTGCTATCCTTTTTAATAACAACTGTGAATTAAAAATCATCAATGAATATAGGGATACTGGTGGTAATTTTCTAATTTTGGATGTCTTTATTGAGGATATCTCTTTTTTACTAATAAATATTTATGGTCCAAACTCTGACACACCTAATTTCTACTTAAGTTTAGTTCATAAAATAGAGGAGATTTACTCTTCCCAAAATATTGTTATAGGGGGTGATTTTAATTTAGTTTTTGATAAGGATTTGGATTCAATGAATTACAAAAATTTAAACAACCCAAAATCAAGACTTGAAGTAATGAAGCTTATGGA